CGGCGCAGCCGATGCGGAACATTATGGCTGATGGGCTGGAGCGTATCATTCTCATGACCTCTTGCTGCTCTGACGGGTGCTGCCCCGTCGTCGTCGTCGTCCCCTTCCTGCCCCCTCCCCCCCGCCTTCCAGGTCATCCTGCTCCTCCCGCTCCCCCGCTCCTGCTGCCGCAGTTCCTCCTCGTCCTCCCCCCTTTGTTTTGCTCTGGGCGGACGGCAGCTTCTGGACTGGAGCGTCAGGCTGGTGAAAAAAAACACGACTCAGCACAACGATGAACGAATTGAGCCTGGCGGGCGCAGCGGGGATCAGGACGGGCGCCTGAAGCACAGAAAAAGAGAGTGGGCCCGTCCTCCCCCTTCATCGTCCTTCTCCTATTCGTCCTGTGCATCCTTCTGCAAGAGCCCCCCTCATTATTTCCAGATTGCGCGTAATAAAGACATGTAAATGTGTGTACGTATATGTGTATGCACATATATATATATATATGTATAGTGTGTCCTCTTGGGCGACCCAGGTCCACCATGCCACAGGGGAAGAGTCCGAATGGTTCGTGTCCAATCCGAGCCTGGCTGGTCCTTCCAAAACGGTGCTCCCGCTGCATCGCGGGCCCCCTCTCAGGATCGGGGCTCTGCTCCCGTCGTTCGGCCATGGCGCTCCCGCCCCCGCGCGCGCCCCTTCTCGGGATCCGACTCCTTCCTCGTCGTTGTCGCCCCCCTCACTTCGTCTCCGCCGCTTTCCCCTGTAAAGGGGCCCTGGCACAACCGAAGAAATACACACAAATAACATGATTCCCCATTTTCTCACATATTTCCTGGGTTTTTGTCTTCCCCCCCACTTCCCATATGTTCCCATATTTTCCTGGGGATCGACGATTCATTGTGTCTGTGTGTTTATTCCCCTCCTGACCCTGGTCCTCCTGCTCTTCCCGCTCCTCCCCCTCCAGCCCCTGCTGCTGATGTTCGTCCTCGTCGTAGGCTCTCGACGAGAGGTCTAATCTTAGAAGGCATCAATTCTGTAGTCGATCCCCTGCTCGAATTCATCGCCCCCGCCGTTGCGCGACGCCCAAAGTCAGCGCAAACCCGTGTCGGTCGGGTCTTGCAGGATCCTGCAGGATCCTGCACCCAGACCTGGGCCAATGCGACCCTGGCCCTGCAGGATCCTGCAAGATTCGGCGCTCTGACTGACCCTCGTTTGCACTGACCCCCATCTCTGGAGTTCGGCTACACGCAAGAGGGACCCTGGGCAAGAGTGACCTTTGGTGCGCGGCTCTTTGGGACCGCGGGGGGGGCCAAAAACGAGCGCGCAGGCCGCTGCTACCGCTTCTCTTTCGGCCATCTGCGGGCCCATCTGTGCCCGCACCACAGGTCGCTCCGGCGAACGGCCACTCCTACGTGGAGTCGAGGGGCCGAGGAGGAAGCGGAGCCGAGCCGCGAAGCGCGAAGAACTTCGCGCCCTCGAGGGCGCCCCCTGGTCTCTGGAGGCCCGGCGCTCGAGCCCGCCGCCCCCGCCGGTGCGCGCCGCCCGGACTCCGAGAGGCCCGCCCCGCGAAGCGCGGGGGGAGGGGGCGCAAGGGCCCCAAAGGGGGGGCCACGGCGCGCGCCGCGCTGCGGGCGGCGCGTCCTGGGAGCCGACCTGCGCCCGCGGCGCGATGGCGATGAAGTTGTAGGAGAGCGGGACCTCAGTCAGGAGGGAAAGAAACACACATACACAATTAATCGTCGACTCCCAGGGAAATACGGGAAAATATGGGAAGTGGGGGGGGGAAGACAAAAACCCAGAAAATATTTGAAAATATGGAGAATCCTTTTTACTTTGTGTGTATTTATTTGTGTCCCAGGGCCCACTCACTCATGGTGAGCCACCCGACGTCGCGCTGCGCGCCGCGCGAGAGCGCGAAGCGCGGAGCACTTCGCGTTCGCGCGCCGCCTCCCAGGGGAGCAGAGGAGGAGGAGGAGGAGGAGGAGGAGGAGGAGGAGGAGGAGGAGGAGGAAGAGGAGGAGGAAGCGGAGCCGAAACGCGAACAATTTCGCGCCCTCGAGGGCGCCTCTGGTGATGAACTCCCCCCCCAAAAAAGTAACCAGAGGGCCTCCCAGATGGGGTTCGAGCAGATGGGGTAGGAGGATCCTGACGCATCTTCGAGACATCGGCAATGCATCTGCGATGCGTCTGCGATATACTGGCGACGTCGGCGATGCATTCGGCGACAGAGGATCGAGCCCCACATCGAGCCGTATCGCCGACGCATCGCCAATGCATCGGCGATGCGGCACGACTCTCCGACCCCATCTGCTCCGAAGGAGGCATAGACTAACCCTTTGAGAAGGGACCTGAGTTAGGAGGGCCAGAAACCGCAATAATCATGTTTTTTTACCCAACCCTCCTGCGTTGGGTTCTCGTTTTGGATAGAGCACCGCTCGCGCCTTCCCACCCCCTCCCGTCCCTCTCTTCCCCCCTGCCTTTTACCTGGCTCGTCGCTGCGTTTCGAGGGTTGCTGGGGGCTGCGATCTGTGAAACTGTCGCCACTTTCGAGGGCTGCTGGGGGGCCCAGCACAGTGGGCACCCGCGGCGGATTCAAATGGGACCTCGCCATCCCTGGGGGGCTGCGATCTGTGAAACTGTCGCCACTTTCGAGGGCTGCTGGGGGGCCCAGCACAATGTGCACCCGCGGCGGATTCAAATGGGACCTCGCCATCCCTGGGGGGCTGCGATCTGTGAGACTGTCGCCCCTTTCGAGGCCTGCTGGGGAAGCCCAGCACAGTGGGCACCCGCGGCGGATTCAAATGGGACCTCGCCATCCCTGGGGGGCTGCGATCTGCGAAACTGTCGCCACTTTCGAGGGCTGCTAGGGGGCCCAGCACAATGTGCACCCGCGGCGGATTCAAATGGGACCTCGCCATCCCTGGGGGGCTGCGATCTGTGAGACTGTCGCCCCTTTTCGAGGCCTGCTGGGGAAGCCCAGCACAGTGGTGCACCCGCGGCGGATTCAAATGGGACCTCGCCATCCCTGGGGGGCTGCGATTTGTGAAACTATCGCCACTTTCGAAGGCTGCCGGGGGACCCAGCACAATGGGCACCCACGGCGGATTCAAATGGGACCTCGCCATCCTGGGGGGCTGCGATCTGTGAAGCTGTCGCCACTTTCGAGGGCTGCTGGGGGGCCCCGCAGTGGGTACCCGCGGCGGATTCAAATGGGACCTCGCCATCCCTGGGGGGCTGCGATATGTGAAGCTGTCGCCCCTTTCGAGGCCTGCTGGGGGGCCCAGCAAAGTGGGCACCCACGGCGGATTCAAATGGGACCTCGCCATCCCTGGGGGGCTGCGATCTGTGAAACCGTCGTCACTTTCGAAGGCTGCTGGGGGGCCCAGCACACTGGGCACCCACGGCGGATTCAAATGAGACCTCGCCATCCCTGGGGGGCTGCGACCTGTGAAACTGTCGCCACTTTCGAGGCCTGCTGGGGGGCCCAGCACAGTGGGTTTCCCGCACGTTTTTCTCCTGCTCTTCGCTCCCGACCCCCATGTCCTCTTCGAGCCTGTAGTTGTCGCCCGTCGTTCTTGTATGGTTCTCCTGCGCATCATTCCATTGGCGCGTGTCCCAAGTAGCTTACATATCAAACAACGGATCCTGCAATTTGATTGTCCGTGCAAGTTTCGGCCAACTCCTCGTTTCCCATGATACAAATGGGTTAGGTACGTCACAGGGTCATTTTCTGCAGATGCATCAAACCAAACCGCCCAGAAATATGATCCCTGATGCGAGGGCGTGGACCAAAGTGAGGTCATTTCGTCATCGTATTAATAGGGTGGGGGCTTTTTTTGTGCTGAATGATCTGGGGAAACCAGAATGTTTGAGCAAGGACCGACCGTCCCGGCTATGTGTTCGACCACGGATCCCTTGTTGCCCATTGTTCCTGTGCCATCTTGGGCAGTCTTCGGGCGGTCTTCCGACGGTTTTCGGCAGTGTCTGGGCGTCTTTGGCGGCTTCCAGCGGTCTTAGGCGCGAAAGCTGGATGGGTCCGTTCAACAAGGGGTCCAACATCGAACCCGAAATCCTGATAGTCCTACAGGCCTGCCACGAAAATCTCGTAGAACCAAACACGTTCCAACAACAGAAACGATGCTCTTGAATCATGAAACCGATATACTACAACATGACCGTCTCAACCAAACATGTTTAAGACCGCCTCGCGCAAGCCACAACAGGTTCTGAGAACATTATGTGGTGGACCTATAGACAAAACCCCGTTCGCTCAAGGTCGAAATCCGTCGGGTCCTGCGGCGATGCCGTGTCTCTCGGTGCTCCCGCGTCAAGGACTTCAACCTGGAGCGCGTTCGCCAGAATCGCCGGCGCGCCAACGCCGCATGAACCTACCGTAGCGATATCGCTACTCACCAAACTTTTCCCGGGGTGCGTTCTGACCACAATGTCGGGGCGAATCCAGCTGTGGCGACGAGGGTCACCCAGGAAGCCCGGCCATGGACACACAAGGGCCCTCCTCTGAACCTCGGGCAAGGCCGGATTGATTTTGTTTTCTCCTGCGCTGCGGCGGCGTAGGCGCAGCGGCAGAGGGGGCCTCCCTGACCGCGGCCGAAAAGTGGCGCGGTGCACCCCTGGAATTCCTCGGAACGGGCGGGCGCAGGAATCCTCCAGAAGAGCGGAAGACTGCATAAACATCAACCTTCACAAGTCCGCGCAGATTTCTCGATCGGATCGGCGCCCCTTCTTCTTCGATCCTCGGCCTCCCCCTCCCTCTCCCCCTGCTCCTCCTCCTCCTCCTTCTCCTCCTTTTTCTCCTCCTCTTCCTCCTCCTCCTCATCCTCCTCCTCCTCCTTTTCCTCCTTCCTCCTCCTCTTCATCCTCCTCCTCCTCCTCTTTCTCTTCCTCCTCCTCCTCCTCCTCCTCCTCCTCCTCCTCCTCCTCCCCCTTGTGACTCCTTTGGACTCAACTGCCACCGTCACCGCTGGCCAGGCCTGCAATGAGGTAGGAAAAAGCAAGGAAGATCAGTCCTCGGCGAGCCCAAGGAAGGCCTCCAATTGGTGGAACCCCGGACGACGCCATGCAGGAAGACGCGATCCTTCCGCCTCCATGGCCAGGTACTCTTCCCAGGCCTCGTCCCTCGTCAGCAGCTGGCCCTTTTTGTTGCGCACGCCGTCGGCCGCCTCGTCCACGCTGGAGTCTGACTCCAACTCCAGAGCACCAGGCGATACTCCAGCGGGATAGGCGGCCCAGAGATTGAACGAGCTCGCAGCGTCCACCCGAGCGCGGCGCCGCACGAAGGGACGGATCGCTCGGCCAGGGCGCTGTTGGCCACAGAGCCTCAGCTGCTCCTCCACCCCCTCGACAAAATCTACGTCGCCCTGGCTGACGACGTGGACCTTCCCGCTCGGATCACAACCCCCCGCGCCGTGGGCCTGCAGCGCGTCCGCGTCGGCGACCACGGCGGCGGCGTCCGCGGCGGCAGGGCAGTGATCCCCTGCAGGCCGCTCTGCGTCGACGGCCTCCAGCCAGGAGCGGGCGCTGGCCGCGCGAGCCCGCCACCAGCCAGGCGAGCGGCGGCAAGCAGCGCTGAGCTCCGCCTCCGGTTGCTGCTGCTGCTGCTGCTGCTGCTGCTGCTGCTGCTGCTGCTGCTGCTGCTGCTGCTGCTGCTGCTGCTCGGCCGCTCCTTCCGCATCGACGCCATGCACTCCCAAGCTGGCCCCACCCTCCGAGCCGTCCGATGTGGGGGGGTGGGACCCCACGGCGGGAAGCTGGCAGCTCTGCTTCTCTTGCACCGCGTCGGCAGCAGCGGCGGCGGCGCGCCTGCGCTCGCAACACCGCTCACCCAGCTCGGCACCGATACACTCGCCACGTCTATCTCCCCGGCGAAGGAGGGCACACCTCCTGACTCCTTCACGCTGCATTCGAACGGCTCCCACACGCCGCGCGGGACGAAAGTAGCCGCATCGGGATCCAACGCCGAAGGCGAGGGCAGACGAGGTCCCTTCTGCATCTTCCTTAGCTCCGCCGAAGTGGCCAATGAAACCCAAACTCCTGGCTGCGCCACTGAGTGCAGTGCCACGTTCCGCCGGAGGACGGCAGCATGATCAGCAGGGCGACCGTGGAGCAGGTGGGAAAGAGCAGGCGCAATGGCCAATCTACGATCTGGCAGACATGGATCGCCAAGAAATTGGGAAACATAACCACGGAGACGCACATACTGGGCCTTCTGCACCGTGAGCTGGTCGGACAAACGCTGGATCGCCAGATCGGCCGACCTGCGGGCCCACTCTCGGCGCTCTCGCCGTTCGGCAGCCGTGCGGCGAGGAACAGCAGCATCATGTGAAACTGGACGCGCGTCGCCCGCGCCCTCCCGAACCATCTTCTCAAGCACGACGAGCGAAGACTGCAGAAGCAAACCAGAGGGCCATCGCCGCGCTGGCTTCAACAACAGGGCTGTCGCTCGCTGTTGAGCGGCTTGAGCCAAAATGGCTAAGGATCCTCCTCCTCCTCCTCCTCCTCCTCCTCCTCCTCCTCCTCCTCCTCCTCCTCCCCCTCCCCATGCTCCTCCTCCTCCTCCTCCTCCTCCTCCTCTCCCTCCTCCTCCTCCTCCTCCTCCTCCTCCTCCTTTTCCTCCTCCTCATCCTCCTGTTCCTGCTCCTGCTCCTGGTCCTGGTCCT